ACCTAACACCAGGAAAAGAATTCATTAATCTATGTGTGTTATGGTGCTTCTGCCTAAGGGTATATGAAGCATACTGTGATGAGTTATGAAATTGTGCGAATATAGGTAATGGTTTATTATTTTGAAGTACATAAACTTTTGCTTTTAGAAATTTGTTATCACTTTTAAACCTTATCACTTCTAATTTCAATTCATGATTACTACTATCTAATTGTTATGCAAGTGCTTCCAATTCTTTAAATGCTTCTTCCAAATTAAGACACTTTTTTACCAAGGATTCATTTATAATAATTAGTTTAGCATGCTTCTTGTTTAATGCATCATATTCATCAAATAAAGACTTGTGATCATTATCTAAAGTAGAATGTTCAATTATCAAACTAGTATGCTCTTTTTGTAATTTGTAAAAGTTAGTGTTTAAGCTAGCATACATCTTCTCAAGTTTCTTATACAAATCATGATTTTTTTTAATAATAAATAATTCATTATATGAAAGTTGACATACCCCATCTTGATCTGATTGATTAAAATTATTGTTAGCCATAAGACACATGCATGTTACCTTATGCTCTACTTCTTGTTTTGATGATTTTGAGGCTAGGTCAGCCCAAAATGCCTTCTGTGTCCTATTATTTCCCATCCTAAATTACTCCTTTTCTTCACCCTTTTCCATGATCGGGTGAGTCTTCATGTTGGGGCAATCTTTTCGGTGATGTCCTAGTTTCCTACATATTATATTGTGTCAGATGACGCTTTGAAATTTCTATTAATTTTACCTTTGTTGCACTATTGTTGATGATGTCTTTGCTTTCTCTTTTGAAAATCTTCAAATTGGTGGGTCATCAAAGCACTGTCATCATCCTCCTCCACAATAAAACTATCACTATCTGAATTGTACATTTTCAAAGACACAATCTTCTCCTTCTTTAAATCACCTGCACCATTTAGTATTTTACTCATGCCTTGCTCATAAGAAATGAGTGGCCCAAGCAAATTATAAATAAAATTGATATTTAAATCTTTTGATTCAGTAATTGCAATAATTTTAGCATCATACGCACTAGACAGGCAACGTAAAATGTTATTAACTTTTTTTAGAGTTGGAGAGCTCTACCAAATGTATGCATGGACATAACTATCGGTGTGAACTAGTGTACATTTCTGATATTGACTCGCTAGGTTTCATACAAAATAGTTTGAAATCATATAACATAATGTTTAATCTATAATGTTTTACTTTACTTGGTCTTTCATTATAATGCACAATCTATCCCAAATTTTCTTCCACATAGTACAGGTTGATATAAAGATATAATCCATGGATTTCAAAGCATAGAAGAAACAATAAACATATTTAGCATTTATTTGAGCAAATTCTTTATTGTCTTGACTCCATATAATATAAGGAATATCAATTTTCACAACAATAATAATGCATGATGATAAAGAATATCCAGATTGAATCATATGCCTCATCCTATTATAAATAGATTGTAAAAACAAAGACATGTAGATTTTTCAAAAATTAAAGAGAATATTCTCAAACATTGGTGGAAGGGTAATAAAGTAACCTTCAAATAATGACCTACGTCCACTCCTTGGAGTCCTCCACTCCGAGTATTGCACAATCGCTATATTGTCCCCACAAAAAAAGCAGAGAAGCCCTTCCACCAAGCCCAGTGCGGCAGAAAGCTATAAGCTTTATCACCCTCTAAGTGAAGGAACTATACCTTAAATATTTTTTCCCTCTTTGAGAAGGCATAGAAACTTAAACTCCTTTCTCAGCCTCTGAGTGATGGTAGAGAACCATGTCCTTGGGCTGAAGAATTTCTTCCTAAATCCACCCAAGAAACCTAAATGGAATCAATAAGGCAAGATAATTGATTTGAGAAACCGTGAGAACCCCTCACACTACTTCTCCCTCACACGCAAGAACTTCCTCTTCTTTCCAAAGCACTCCAAGATCTTCGTCTCAAAGCTCCCTCTCATGAACACCTAGCAACCAAAGACTTAAAACAAGTCAGTGAGAGAGATTAAATACAAGGACTTATATAAAGCCCTAAAATTTTGCTCTGTAACTATGATTGTACAGTACGATCATGGATCTTCTAGTTTGATTAGTTCAAAGTACTCTTGTTTGTACTATACAAAGGGCTAGATGTTGTACATCAACTCAAAGAATTGAGTTGATCTTCTAGGACGATTTAAAGCATCATAAAGTACGATTAATTCAAACCACTTGGATTTTTATCTCGTATGATTGGTGATGTTAAATTATCATCCCATGCTAGAATCAGTTCGTATAGTGTGATTTGTCCAATAGTCCCGTACTGTATGTCTAGATCAATTAATCTATAATCACCCCTAATCACATGATTAATTTTGGCAAGATTTAATTGCATCATACTGTATGATATCTATCGTATAGTACGATTTGTAAAAAGTAAAAATTTTAAAATATTAACTAAATTTTAATTGGAGGTTGGGATCCTAATTTCAACTGATCTTCTTATATGATATTAATCAAATAGTATGAATAGTTCAACTTGCATTAATTATCACAATTAGCCATCTTAATGACTTTCTTTATCATATCATATAATACGATATGGATTGTACCATATGATTAATTTAGAAAATTCTACTTATGATATTATCACTAACTCAATCACAAAAGTGTGTGTGTGCGTGGTTACCAAGCTTAGTATCCACCAAATACATGATTTAACTCAAGAAAAGTAAAAACACATAAGAATTGAAAATACAGACATTTCACAACAAACTTACCCCTACTTAACCCAATCTTGAGCTTATTAAACTTGGAAGTGTACGGTGGACCTAGAATGTTGGTGCACAAGAAAAAATAGATGTGCAATAATAGTAATTAATAGGAGATAACATAGTATGGAATTCAATAATATTTGTTATCATCAAAATCATAGAACTTTGGTCAAGATCTGTAATATTTTTTTACTTCTAAACCATCATTAAAATTAAAATACAATCCAAATGCTATGATTATTGAATGAGGATATTATCCAATTGCTTCTATATTTCACATTGAAGAGGTTTTGCAATAGTCGAATAAACCTTGAAAATTCTCTATTTTATTTTTCATATCAACCTGTCAATGTTCAGCTTATGATATGCAATGTAATTAATATCAAATGCGAGTATTTCTGCAATAAACTAAGCCAAAATAGACAATCTAATCTTTAGAAAAGGGCATTAGAAAGTTCATCTTTGTACTTTAGATCGATTGATATGATCGTTTAGAGGGTGTGAGTTTGTTTGTCTTCAAACATGATGCTTTCCTCAATCATCTCAAAGGTTTCAAGTTCAATTCAACTCTTTCAACTATAAGTTGTAGTACCTCCTCTAGCATGGTTTTGCTTTCCTTCTTATAACATGCTCGAAAATATACCAAATTTCATAAACAATTATTTTTCACTCTCCTCCACAAAATTTGAGCACTATATGTTAGGTTGAAATTGTAGTATCAAAAGAATTGAGTGGCTAACTATAATTTGTGTCATAGGTTGTTGGGACTAGAGACGAGCAAAATTTCATAAACAAACATTGTTCACTCACCACCATGGAAATCTATGACAATATGGTAGGTTTAAACTATCATATCAAAAGCATTAAGTGGTTAACTATAAATTGTGTCATAAGTTGATGGGATATTGATCATAATGAATTTAGCCTTTCCTAAAAATTATTGACCACCTTTACCCCAAGGGATTAGTAGTACAATCAATCTTTTTATTTCCCACGTTTACACTGAAAGGCGTAAAATGGTTTTGAATTAGGCACCAACCAAGAGGGATATATTTGCATTTGATAGAAAGGTCTTTTAAAATTTATGTTCATAGAACTTCTTAAGTCAATGAGAATGTTGTCAATTGAATAGTTGACAATAAGGGTTGGGAAGAAAATCTCATCATTGTAGAGATTTATTTTTGTTTATTGGATGATCATTATCGATGAAGGCAATAGACACCACCACCAGAAAAATTCCTAAAGTCAAGACAGCATGTACCATTCTTGAACGAAATCAATTAAATTTTGCTTTCCTTGATGCTTGGATTTCAAAAGAATCGTTAGTAAGATTCTTACTATACGAATTGCCTAGTCTTGAATAGAATCGTTTTTGCTAGCCATCCAAAGGTGTTTTCTAATCATTGCCCAAGATATGTAACAATATCTCTACTGCATTGTCCTAGTTACTAAAAGATAGACTTCATAGATCTTAGAGAAGTCATCAAAGAATCATCATTGAACTAAAATCTTATTATTGAGAAGATAATATTATAAATGCTATCATAAAATTAATGTGAATTTAATTTTTTGTTCAATAAAATTGACCATCATTCTTAGATGCTACAAACTAAGTGCTTATTTAAACGTACATCAAAGTCCTTGTAATAGGTTTTGCTTGGTACTAGCAATCCATTGGAGCTTAGTTAAATAAGATGAATTATATTGATAAGTAGTACTCTTGGATGTCATAAATGGTTATTTTGGTGAGTTCTTCCTGCGATTTAATTTTGAATTAATGGGAATTTAGCTTTGGCAACTTGATGACTTCAATTACTAAGTTCCATGGCCGAGTAGATCTTTACTCTTGGTAACTTCAGTACCCTCTTAAGGCAAAAACATTTTTCATCGTGTACTCAAAAGGCAATTCGATAAGGTGATTTAGCATAAATTTTCCCATTGGCGACTTGAAGATTTAATGAATTGTTTAGGCGTTGGTGACTTGAAGAAGCTAATTCAAAATTGTAATATGATTGATTAAATTGACTCAATTAGCTAAAGGTAAACATAGAGAGAGAATAAAGTCTTCCATGTAACATAGGCTATGAAAATCCAAGAAGTTACTGAGATGATCATTAGTTGTATGAATAAGGAGCACATTTTCAATTTGCGTGCCATGAAATCAATAATTTAATATAAAGATGTTAAGAATGTTGCCACTTGAAAAGAATTTCTTAGACAATAGCAAGGCAAACAATATTTCAATTCGATTTTTTGTTTTCTTTTCTCATTCGATACTTCGTTCAAAAGCACAAACAACAAGTGAACATTTGTAAAATAACAAAAAATAATAATAATAATAATAAATAAATAATAAAAAACATAACAATTTGCAGCTTTTCTAAGTATTGCACGTTCAAGAAAAACATCAGTCATTCAGAACCGCTGCAATTAATCCCTCATTCCATTTGATGGCGAGCAGAACTTGCTAAGTCCTTTTCCAATGGATTCAAAGAAGCCCCTACCATTCTCCTCATGATGCTCATTGCCATGCTCCTTCTTTGAATGAACAGAAACAACAAGGGCATCAAACTCTTCCTTGGCGCGCTCAAAGACGTTCGGTCCTTTAACCTTTTCAATAGGTGTGTTCTCATCAATGTCATCACTCATACCATGAGTTTCCATATTGTGCGTCTTCTCTCTATGCAGGACTGCTTCAATTTCTTCCTTCACCCTCTCCAGCAAATTAGGAGCTTTCACATTTTTTTCTAACAATGAATCAAAATCACAGAGAATGAATCCATTAAATTCACAATAAAGTACACAAAACCATTCAAACAAACAACGGCATAATATGACTCCAATACTTAAATCACTTCCTACGTCAAGACTATTCTTCTATGATTCAAAAATGTTCCATGAAGAACTCCAAAATCTCTCTTTTTTTTATTTTTGGAAATTGTATTTTGCATTAGAAATGAAAAGAGATAGAAGCAACTAATGATAGTAATCACATTCCTTCTTCAATAAAAAAAATAAAAAAGGAATGTCATTACCAGAAAAACAATCAAAAGTAAAACTACTATCTAAAGCTAAACTAGCACAACAATCTGCTACTTTATTACAATTTCTAGAAATCAAATGAAAGATAACATTATTAAAATCCAATCTTAAGATTGCTGCGATTTCATCTTCTTCAAGAAATCTTGAAGTCATTTCATCACATTGTGATTATCGCCTTCAATAATAACTCCCTTGTATTGGAACATCCACCATTGCAAGTGTTCTCTAAGTAAATAAACAGCATGTAGTTCAAGAGACGCAATATCCCAATGCTTCAACTGCTTACCAAAAGCACAAAGGAATCGCCACTTATGATCTCTAATAATAACTCCAATGCCTGCATTATATGAATCCTTTAGTGTATCATCTACATTGATCTTTATCCAATCTAGGGGAGGAGGACGCCAAATATCATCAAACTCCGATCGTAGATCAGCATCCCATATTTCTAGAATTGGATTAGTTGACATCTGTATAATGGAACTTTATACGTTTGAAGCCAAAAAATGAACTGATGAAGTATCCATTCCAAGTTTTATTTGATTTCTTCTTTTCCATGAGAAGTAAACTATTGTATAGTAATGTTTCACTATGTTCAAGTTAACTCTAAACAATCTCTTCAACTCCTCTAAGCACTCAGAGTAGGAATCAAATATAGGAACTTGAAATCCCCATTCACGCAGCTTATGTACAATTTGAAGCAGTTGATTACATAACAGCCACATGCTCCTGATTTTTCACATCATTACAACCACATGGACACCTACTTGATTGCATTAAGTTTCTATAATTAAAAAAGGAGTTAGTAGGAAGAACATTCTTACATAATCTCCACCAAAACAGCTTAACTTTAGGCAGCAATTTGAATTTCCTGAAACAGTTCAAAGTTTCATTCGTGTAGTTTTCCATCACTCTGCATTGTCCGTGACCTTCCATACTGGCTTCAAACGAAAGTGCAGTTATTGATTTCCCCGAATGATGTTTAATAAGTTCAATGCTATCTTCATTCAGATATGGAGATAACTTTATTGATTTGATAATTGAAATCAAGTCTTCATTAAAACAACTCTGCATTTGCAAACAATTCCAACTGCCATCTTCAGAAATACGTTTGTGGACCAATTCATTATAAAGCTCATGACAATTAACATAAGTGGGCCATTTGTTAAGAGGTTTATCATAGATCCAAGTATAAATCATGATACTCACTCTGATGCCATTCACCAACTTCCATCTAACAACATTTTTTAGATATTTTTCTCCATCCACCAAAATTTTCCAAGTTGAAGAGTTTCCACTTCTAACCATACCGCTCCACACATCACTACCATATTTAGAAATGATAGCACGATTACACAATGAATTAGGATTTTGAATAAATCTCCATGTAAGTCTTGACCTCAAATGTTCAACTTTAGTAACTGAAGAGTGAAGGCCCAATACACCAAGCAACTTTGGTTTACAAAGGTCTTCCCAAGATACATAGTAATCCTTTCCTATCTTTATCTTTATGCCATAAGAAATCTCTACACATTCTATCCAACTCATACAAAATTCCTTTAGGAACCAAAGAATGTGTAGATAAAAATATTGGAAGTGAAAGAAAAGAACTTTTGATCAGTAGAACTCTTCCTGCCAAAGAAAGATATCTACTACCCCATACATTTAGCCTTTCCCACGTATGGTCTAAGATAATTCTGAAATCAAAATTCACAAGCCTTCTCAATGTCATCTTCACTCTCAAGTATTGCATCTCTTTCATTATCTTGAAGCCCAACTTCTTAGCAATTCTCTTCTTACACATTTTCTTCACTGATTTTCCAAATAAAATTTGAGATTTCATGTTGTTTACTTTTTGACCGGTCCACCCACAAAAATCCTTTAAGATTTTCTTGAAACAAGAGACTGGTCTCATAGAAGCATTATAAAATACGAAAACATCATCAGCATTAAGTAAATGTGTAATTTTATCAGATTTAGGGGATAAGTATTAGAAAGCAATTGTGAGCATTAGAAAGCAATTGTGAGCATAGGATATACAAATATGGGGATAACGGGCAACCTTGCCTAAATCCGCTTTTAGCTTCTATCCTATTCATTCTCCTACCATTAATGAGTGTTTAATATCTCACCTTTTGGACACATTCCATAATAAGCATAATGAATATTGGAGGAAACCCAAACCATTTCAAATAATTTTCAAGAATAGGCCAATACATGCTATTATATGCTTGCTCCATGTCCACTTTGACCGCCATAAGTCATTTCTTGTAGTTAGAAAATCTTAACTTGTTGAAGATTTCTTGAGCCAATAAGCAATGCTCCGACATACATCTTTCAATAACAAAAGCAAGTTGAAACAATATTTCACACGATTCATAATCATTCTAGCAACCACCTTGTATATTGATTGACATAAGCTTATTGTTCTGAACTACGATGGTTCTAATGAGTTCTTCACCTTTGGGATTAACACAATCAATGTGTCTTTCTATTCAGGATGCATTTCTCCACAAGTTAAAAATTCATTCACAGCTCTCCACAAGTCTTCTTTAATAATACTCCAATAGAACTTGATAAATGAGACGGCTATACCATCCAAACAAGGTGATTTGTTATTCCCCAAGCTCTGTACAGCTTCCAGCATTTCGTCTTGAGTAAAATCTTCATTAAGCATGCTCCATTCAGCGTTGTCAATTGTTTGTTGAGTCCCTATTTCAGGTCAACCCGAACTGGAGCACTCCCTCTGCATCCATTTCCGATTGAAGAATTTAAAAAATGTTGTTTCAACTTTGTCTTGATCGACCACAAGACCTTCATCTTCATCATTAATTTGATTAATTAGCTTTCTATTCCACCTAGCTGAAGCATAGTCATGAAAAAATTTGGAAATGGTGTCTCCTTCTTGTATCCATCTAGTCTTAGCTCTCTGATTCCACCAAGTAGATAACGAAGCTAATGTAACATTAAGTTCTCTCACTTTATTTCTTAATACCATCAGATCTTGTTGATTAAGGTCGTCTTTAGAGCTTTCCTTAATTTGCAACTCCATAATCTCCTTCTTCAAAGAATTCTTCAACGTTGATAGCTCATTTACATTGTTTTTGTTCCAATAATACAAGGCTTTGAGAGATATTTTCAGCTTCCTGTTCAGGATTTCAGCATTATTACCGAAATCATTCCTTCTCCATGTCTTGAGTACAACATTCCAAGCAGTAGGGTAAGATTTCCACATATCCTCAAGTCTAATGTGTTTGTGAACCGGCCTCAAGGTGTTATTAATTTGAAATAAAATAGGAGAATAATCGGAAGCCACTCTTGCCAAATGTCTCACATAAGCATTGGGGACTTGCTGAAGAGCTACAGAGTTCAAGAAGCATCAATCCAATCTTTCCCAAATCCTCGAGTTGCCATCTTTATTATTACACCAAGTAAATCTTGGTCCAATAATACCTACATCATGCAAATCATTATTAGCTAAAAAAGATTTCAGCTCTTGCGGGCCTTGGAAGAAAAAAAAAATACCTCTTTCCCCCTCTTTTGTCTTCCTTGGACAAGATGCACTTAAAGTCCCCTCCTACTAAAGAAGGAACATTACCATCCAATACCTTATCAAGACTAACCCACAAACATCTTCTAGCCCATACATCATTACTCCCATAAACCATTGCAACATTCCAACTTCCTGTATTAGAAAAATGGAATTTCTCAAACACAACCTGAGAAGAATCAAAAACAACTTCAAAACTACCCACACCAACCTCTTCCACAACACAAGAATACCCCCATAAGTGCCACTAGCACGATGATTAAAAAAATCCCACTACTCACCAATAATCTTATTCACATCATTTCTATTCAAACAAGATAACATAGTCTCCACTAACCCTATGAAAAACACCTCATTATCCCTAACCAACTCCCTAAGATAAAGAGAAGCCTCTTTTTTCCTGGCTCATCTACAATTTCTAAACAAGAAAGAAAACATTATGAAACTAATGGGGAATGGCCCCCCAGCACCAAGAGTACGGCCACCATCACCTCTTCTTCTTCTCGGAATATCACCAACAGGCCCAATAGATTTATTTTCTTTAGCAAGCTTGACCTTATTTTTGTTACAGGATGCATCCATAACACCACTTGAAGGAGACACATGTATATCTGGTTGCATATCAACCTTATCCTTATCATGACAATCTACTTCAGGAGCAGTAGAAGTATCATTCACAAGCATACTTTCCATCATTTGTTGAGCGGTATGATTTTCCAAAAATATAGACCTTGATTTCAAGCTATTATTTGTTTCAATAACGTCACATTCCGCTATTTCATTAATCTGCAGATTATGATTATCGGTATTTTGATTCACATATTCATTGCCCTCTTCTTTATCATCAATATTTTCAATAAGCAAACTAAATTTGTTTGCATTTACCAAACCGCAAGCCAACTTGTCATGCTCACTATCTTCTTCAATTTGAATTGCATCAGATTTGACTTCAACATCAACTTGAGAAGGAACATCTTGTTTTTTCATGTTGAATTCTTTGCTTCTAACAAATTTTCTTTTCCTATTATGAAACTTCACATGAAACCACGGCCCATACTCAGATTTATCATAATGTATATTGTTCAAGGCGATCTTATTGACTTCCTTAGAAGATTAAGTTGTGTTACTTTTATTAAGATGCTCATTCTTATCTACCTCAACTTCTCTTACCGGACACAAGCTTTTATGACCAATTTTTCCACAATTAAAGCAAAAGGAGTATCTTTTTTCATAATCTATTCTCTGGAAAAATCTACCACCCAAACCATCAACCCAAATTCCTCCGAGCAATTTCTTATCTAGATTAATTTGTACACAAGCTCTTATGAATTCTTTTCTTCTCCATTTGAACATGTTACCATCAAGGAATAAAGGGACACCAATCTTAGAAGCAATCTTAGTAATATTCATCTCATCCTAACAATGCAGCGGGAGAAGAGGCATTCTTATCCAAACCAGAGAAGATAATCCCTTCAAGGAAAGGGGAGAAACTAGGTGTCCATCTATTAATTCCCATAATGTAATCACCCACATACCATGGTCCACCACACAACACATCTTCCAACGGTTCAGATGAGTGAAATGAACATAAAATCCAATCTAATCCCAAAGAAGTTAAGTGAAAAGCACCAAACTTGCTCTATTGCTTCCTCAATTCTAAACAAAAAAAAGGAAAAGGAACATTGTCATCTAAGACTTTCACCATCAGCGAATTCTTCAACACTTGGGCATTTGCAATCTCCTGCTCTGCATTAAGCTTGACAGCAACTCCATCATCAGACATTTCAGCAATAATAAAATTAGGATTTACTTTCAAATGAGGATTGGTATTCCATGAGTTTGGCCGATTTGAAATTTTGCCATATTATCCACCACAGTCATTGTCGTCGCTTCGGCCAAATTATTCAAATCAATTTCCTTTCCAATCATCACCGGTTTGGATGGCACAGATGAAACAAAATCTTGATTAAAATCCTTTCCAATTGTTGAATCAGAAGAATCAGAGGCATTATGAGTAATAAATCTGTTAACCTTCAACTTTAAACCAGAAGATGAAGCTTTGACATCATTCTGCCGATGAATCGGACTCAACAGAACCGGATTAGAAGATTTGGGTGTTACCTGCTTATCTGCAATCTTCCTTTTACCTTAAATAACAGTAGATCGTTGCACTGGTGGACCAAAACCTTCTCGAATTAGCAAAGCTAAATTCTTAGGTTGAGCATTCTGCGTTCTTCCTTCTGGCAGTAGCGTCCGATCTTTAAAGCTTCGAAAGCTTCCAACAAATCCTTGTGGATTGGATGAAGATTGACGAGTGAAGGAGGAACAACAGTCGGCGATTGCCGGCGGTCCTCCTCCGCCATTAGAGCCTACCCGCACAAAAACAGAAAAACGGAATTTTGAAATCCCTTTCTCTCACTAGAAAACACTCAGACGTTCTCTCCAAAATCTCGCTTAGAGAGCAAATACATGATATAAAAACCCAAACCAATATCCATAATTCATAAAAAAGTTCTCGAACGCTCAGCGCAGCAATAGGTTAAAAAGAATACTCTTACCATCTCCACCAATTGGATGAGATACCACCAAACAATCAAAGGAAAAGAAATTATAAAAATAAAAAAATAAAAAATTCAAACCGATGAAAATCAATGAATGCCTAGAAACCATCAAAGTTTACCATCTTTCGATTCTTCCATATCTGGACTTTTTAAGGTGGGAAAACACAGCAGATATGGGAAAGATGATGATCAAGAGAAGAGAAGAGTTTCGGAAAAGCGAGCGCTGCGATGCTTATTTTCTCCTGACCAAGAGACAACCGAAGCGTTGCAGCGCCTTGCAACGCCTTGCCACTAGGGTTGGTTGCTTTACCCTGTAATGCTAATGATTTTGAGCTTGTCATATAAATGATTTTGAGCTATGTCATATATATATATATATATATATATGTGTGTGTGTGTGTGTGTGTGTGTTAAGCTTATTCAATTAAAATCATATTTTCTCAAACTCAATTACAATAAAATTACAAACTTCAATTTAAATCACACATTATTTATTTGAAATGATTTCCAAAAAAAATTCTTGAATAGACATCTTTTATGGTGTTTTTGGTTTGACGAAAAGTAAGTACAAACGTTCCATGTGCTAGGATATTAAGAATTTTTTTGTCTTGATAAAAAGGAATGTAAAGAATTTTAGCGAATTTCAAATTCACATGATTGTTCATTTTAAATAAACTCAAATATGCTCTTTTTGTCGAATTCTAAAATTCAAAACAAACTAATTTTGTGATTGGCGCAAGCCATTGGCTGCAACTGACATATGTTTTTGCTATCTGCCAGCCACCTATGTTAGCTACTACTACCCACCACTACTGTTATACCCCAGCCAAAACTAGCACAGCTCCCTATCGCCAACATTGATTGCAAGTGCAATGAATAGCCATTAGAATCACAAACTCCTACAATAGGTCACAACATGTACCCTTCGCCACCACAACAACCAATATTTGTTGCCATCACCACAGGACATCACAACCATTGAGCTTTGAATTATAATATATATATATATATATATATATATTAAATACATTGTGTACGAGTTGGCAAAATGGTAATTAAGGCTGTTTGATTTGCCAAAAAAAGTCATACATAATATGGTGCAACACACACACACGTACACAATGTAGTTAATATATATATATATATATATATATATTAACTACATTGTGTACGTGTGTGTGTGTTGCACCATATTATGTATGACTTTTTTTGGCAAATCAAACAGCCTTAATTACCATTTTGCCAGTTTGTGAGATCGAGTGGAGAAATAGTTATAAGCATAGTTCATACATACCGACAGCTCTATTGCGGATCTGTTTTCATGATTTATGATTTTGTTGATAGCAAACACTTCTATTTCTCTACGACGGCCTTATTTACTAACATTTCAGGTCCACACGATCAGACTGCAATTTGGTACCAGCTCAAGATTGGGTAGACTAGGTCTGAATCAGTTTGTACACTTTTTCCTTTCTTGAGTCTATTGTATTTGGTGTGGCTCCTGATGCTTTGTAACTTGGAAGATTTTCGGACTGTTCCCTAGAGTTTACTATTTTTGGTAACATCGTCCGGGACGATATTTATATCGGCCTGGACGATCTGTTCAAAAGTAGAAACTCTAATTAGGACATCCTCATTAAAGTAGCCGTCATTATGCAAAATACATCGTCCTGGATGATTTTGTATCGGCCAGGACGATAGGCTCAAAACAGAAAGAATCTGCCATCAGATCTATTTAGGAATTACTTATTTTTGGACATCGTCTAGGACTACAAAATATCGTCCAGGAGGATCCAGGACAATTTTTCAAAAATTTCTCTAAAATTTAAGGAAAACAATTACGACTTGATTGCACGATTAAATCATCCTGGACGATATACTGGACGATTGGACATCGGACATATCTTTTTTAGGGCGATGTTCAGGACGATATTCCACAATTTATACTGATCGTCCAGAACGATATGTTATCGTCCGGGATGATAAGAATAAATTTCTTCTGATCGTCTCTAATCGTCCTAGCTGATTGGGCTTAAATTGCACTGATCATACAGGACGATATTAGTATCATCCTGGACGATAATGTCAGCAACTTTCATTAATGAGCTCGTTTTAAGATCTTCTATTTAAGTTATGACTTGACACTTTGTAAATGTCTTTGGCAGTCATTGTAGCTTCGTTTTTTTGGGGGAAACTTAAAAAGAGAGCTTGAAAGGGAGCGAGGAAAGGGTGGAGTTTTAGAGAGGGAGAAGATCCTGTGAGGGGGGACTCAAGGGAGTGTGGAGGGGGTTCCACACGGTTGCTCCGGAAAGCTCACACTTGAATACCGTCGGATTCAAGGCTTGTCTCGAGGGAAGTTCACCAAAGAAGAAGATCTCTTTGGTGTCAAATGACCCAGCGACTTTGCCGCACCGGGCAAGATGGAAGTGATTTTGTAAGGGCTTCTCTGCCTAGCTGTGGGGGCTAAAGGAGAGACACTTAGTTTAGTGCAATACTTGGAGGGTGCCTCCAAGGAGTGGACGTAGATTAAGGTTTGACCGAACCACTATAAATTCGATATGTTCTTTTCTTATTATTACTTCCGTATTTAAGTTCTGCATCATTGATTTCTTTGTGGTGTTTTGGTTTGTAGTTTTGTTTTAAAAGATCTTTAACCACCAATTCACCTCTCTCTTCATTAGCCTTGGGCTAGTTCATAAGGGCCTAACATCCCTAACGAACTTTCAAGTGGTATCAGAGCCATTTTCAAAAATTATGTTTTTAAAAGCTTTTGAATTTTGATCCATGGCTAATTTTTCAAATCATAATATTGCGGAAGGTTATTCAATCACCAGACCTCTTTTATTTGAAAATATCTCATTTGATTTTTGGAAAATTTGCATGTCTATTTTTTTCAATCAATTGATTTTCACATATGGCATGTGATTTTAATTGGTTATTCATTACCATCATGTATTTTAGATGGAATTAAAATTGACATTTCTTTTAGTCAATGGAATAGAGATGAATGAATCGATGCTCAATTGAATGCAAAATCTTTAAATTGCTTTTTCTGTGCTTTAAATTTTGAAGATTTTGTGTTAGTATTCACGTGCACTACTGGTAAGAAAATTTGGGATAAACTACACAGCATATACGAAGGCACTAGTGAAATCAAGCAATCCAAGTTGAATATGTTAATGCATGATTTTGAATTGTTTTCCATGAAACCTTATGAGACGATCTTAGATATGTATACTAGGTTTATTTAAATTGTGACATCATTGCATACTTTAGGAAAACAATTTTCAAATTTTGAAAAAGTTAACAAAATTCTTCATTGTCTACTAGATAAGTTTGATGCTAAAATTATTGTTATTTGTTAATCAAAAAATTTGAATGATTATTCTATTGAAAATTTGATTGGCTCACTCATTGCCTACGAGCAAAGTTTGGGTCAAAGACTTTTGGATGCAGGTGAAATGATTGTTCTAAAAGATGAAGATACGGAAAAATATTGCTTAGTTAGTGATGAAAGCAATGACTTGACAGGCAATATAAAAAGCTCACCAAAGCATAAGCATCAATAAAAATGGAAGAAAGGTAAAAATGGTAAGGATGTTAATATTTCTTCTAACATTATTTGCTTTCAATGAAGGAAGCCTAGACATACAAAAAATTACTGCCCTAATTTAAGAATTCTTCCTGCGAAAGAAAAGGTTAAAGCGAAGCAAATTTTAAACTGGGGAAATAATAAAAAGCAAAAAATCTCCTGGGCAGACCTGGTTTCTGAAGCATCGGAGTAGGAGCAAGATGATGCTTAAACCTTTTTTTGTTTTTTGTTTTGTTTTTTGTTTGCATGTTTTGTTTGATCTTTTGCATGTATTTTTTTTTTATCTTTTTCTTTCTTTTTTTTTGTTATTTTTTTTCTCTCTGATCAACACACACGATCACTTTCTAAAAAATGAAAAATCTATCTCCTGTATTTTTCTTGAATTCTTATGAAAGTTATGGTTGATTTCTCTAAAAACAGTTAGAGGAAGGCAACTCATGATTTTGTTTCTCTCTCTCTTCTTAAAGAGGTTATTTTACTTTTGATTCAAAATCTTCATCATATTTTAAATTGAATTTTGGAACAAATTTTTTTCATCTCCCTATATTTTTTCTATCACATAAGAATCTTTTGCAAGATAGTTGAATCCACCATAAAATTTTCTTAATCAAGTTGTTCGTGTTGTCAATAATTTGGGTTTACTTTAGTTTTGAAAATATAAGAAAGAAAGCATATTTTTTGAAAATAATTAAAAAAAAGTGGCCAATGATGCCAAACCAAAAGATGCGCAATAACGCCAATTAAAAAAAATACACAAAGTGTATTAAAATCTAAAGATACTCAAAGAGCCATTCAAGTGATAAATGGCATAAAATGAGCCCACAAAAAATATACTTATTTTTTCTTATACTTCTTAAAAGCTTAAGAAAACCCTTGATACTTTCGATACTTGATTTTGAAAAACATGATTCCTGATTCAACAATTCGTGCATTAATCTTCTATTAGATATATTTTATGAAAGGAGTTTTGAAAAATTAGTATTTCTTTTTCTAATTTATTCCATGATTTAGATATTGAATTAAAATTTTTTTAGCATTTTTAAAGAACTTGAGTTTGGATTATCAAATTCTGAATTTCTAACCTTTTCTGGGCTATGCATTGTCAATCCAATTCTACTAAGTTTTTGATTAAAACCAAGAGGTAACTTACTCATTTGAAGAATATTTAGTTTTTCACTAGATCGGGGAACATTTTTGCCTTTTGTTCGTTTTGTTCTTTGTTTGTGTCTCCTCTCTTTTTGATAATGTTAAAGAGGGAGAAAGTACTGTTGTTGAATTTTGTACTGTTTGTATCTCTTTTCTCAAAAAATTAAAAATAATAAAAATATTTTTATCTCTCCTATTTTTTAAAGTGTTATTCGAGTGAGGGGAGATTAGGAGAAAATGTTCTTTTTTATAAATTCAAACTGAAATGTTTTCCATCATCAAAAAGGGGGAGATTGTTGCGGATCAATTTTCATGATTTATGATTTTGATGATAGCAAACACTTCTATTTCTCTACGACGGTCTTATTTACAAACATTTCAGGTCCAAACGATTAGACTGCAATTTGGAACCAGCTAAAGATTGGGTAAACTAGGTATGAGTCAGTTTGTACACTTTTTCCTTTCTTGAGCTATTGTATTTGGTGTGGCTCCTGATGCTTTGTAACTTGGAAGATTTTCTAACTGTTTCATAGAGTCAAATATTTTTGGTAACATCGTCCGGGATAATATTTATATCGTTCTGGATGACCTGTTCAAAAGTAAAAA